AGCTACATTACATTTTCTATGAATATTTTGTTATTTTACATTCTACTACACTAATAGCTCGAATTATTTTAACTACTTAACACATGACTAACCATTTAGAGGGCGCAGGCTCTTTTAAAGTCCGCGTGAACCGGAAGTTGCTGCCGACTTTATTTCAGTGTAGTGACGTATTTACTTCTGAAACGGAATATTGAATAGAGGGCATGGGTTTATTTTTGCGCTCCTCCTCTCTGTCTCTCACTCATACTGTAGCAAACTAACGGTTGGAGGGGTGTGTTTAGAAGGATATTCTGCCCTAGCCGTCAAACTGACTTCATCAGAAACGGAATGCTATTCCAGAGCGGAAGTAAATGTTCAGATTTTGATGAAAGATTATGAAGACAAATAATTTTTTTCAGCGGATTAACTTGCACGGATTAATTGTTCACATCATTACTAGCAATGTGCGCTAGTAAAGTAAATAAAGTCAATTTTGATTTCATGCGGACTTTAAGCAGGAGTATTCCACTATTACATTTTAACATTAATCCTCCACAACTTTCCCCCCCTATCATTACACCTCTAAATAAGATAAAACATATTTAACTGGATAAGAAAAAAAATATATTTAAAAAAAACCAACGAGATCTGTAACAGAGTGGTCATGTGGTCGCGTTTCATTTTATATTCTTTCATATAAATGCATTTTCTCTTAATTATTTTATTTCCCCCCCTCATAATTCTTACATTCAATAGCTGATCTGAACAGCAGACTGAAAACAACAAAACGCATTTAAATCACATGACCTGTCGTCAGGACGTGTTCGTAGCTCATCCGGGTCAAAAGGCGTCAGCATGGACACGGGGGATGTTCTTGCATCTCTGGTAGGCAAAATTAGTTATTTTAACTTATCAAGACACACAAAGCACTGTACAATAACGTGATAGGCAAAAAAAAAAAAAAAAAAAAGTATGTTGATTGAACAGATGCTCTCAGCGAAATTTCATAACCGTTCAGAGCCCAGAATAATACATCTGTATATCCTAGTTAGCCTGCATGCTAACACGCATGTTATGAGCATATGACAACAATAATGAAACAGATCAGCAATACGAAATAATGTCCTTAACCATCACTGATATTTATATTCACCTAGGTTTAAAATACCTAGGTAGTGACGAGGGTACTTGACAGCGTTGATAAATACGTGAATTCTAGTCTCTTGTGGCAGTATTTGTTTTTAAAGGCACGGGTTTTACGTATTAGCTTTATGAATACACTGTAATGCTCAAATATTTCTGTCTTTAATAAACAGGGGGTAGAGGGAGCGACCGCGGCTGCGCATGCGCTCTCTCTTCCAGCAGAGGCGTACGGAAATGATGTGAGTTGGGATGTTTTGATATTTGCAAATAATAAGAAATGGCAAACATTTAACTTATTTTCTTAAAAGTATCAACATTTTAAAACACTAACAATATTTTATTTTTGATATCAGGCCCAGTTGGAAGTCATGTGGGCTATGAAAGCCTACAATCACGCGGAAGTTTACTATAATGTAAGTGAATGAATGTCACAATCTACCCTGTCATTTGAATATCCAGCTTCACTGGCGGTTTTATTCCTCTACAGCTTATTTCCTCAGTTGATCCCAAACTTCTAAAACTAACAAAATCCGACGAGCAGATATATACTAAGTTCCGGGAAGCGTTTCCTGACCTCAGTATTGAAGTCCTGGACCCGGAGCTGCTGAAGTCAGCAGACGCTAAAGAGGTGCGTGACACCACGCTCGCGTTTGGGAAGCGTTTAATGTTAGATTTCACTCATGGCGAGTCCCTTTCCGGTTTTTTTTTCCAGAAATGGAGGCCCTTTTGTAACCAGTTTGAAGGAGTTGTAGAGGACTTCAATTATGGTACATTATTACGTCTAGACTGTCAGAAGGACTACACGGAGGTGAACACGATATTCGGTATGTCATGCCACACGTGCACTCCTTTTAGTAGTTTACACACATCTTACAAGTGCACAGGAAACAGATCAAGAACTTATCAATGAAAAAAAGCCAGATTTTCCCCTCCGTTTACATGTCAGCGACCAGGATCCAGTTTTACGCCATTGAGATTGCGAGAAACAGAGAAGGATATAATGACTTTGTCCACAAAGCCAGTTCAAAAGCCAAACAACAGAAAAAAGATGAGTTAATCGTAACAGCTTAATATTTCAAGTGACCTTCTTGGTGTAGAGATCTTTCTACACATACAGCTCAACAGTAGAGAAACGGTTATATATGTCCTACTTAGTTTTTTCCCCCCATATGTAAATGTGTGTAAGAGTTGCTTTTCTCATTTGTACGCAAAAGTTGGATGGTTATTCATTTATGATTTTCCTGCAATGTCTGGCACCTTTTGTTTGTAATAAATAACAACAGTACATATTTTCCCCTGAAAAACTGCTGCTGTACTGTGTGTATTGTAATTAGGATTGCCATGACTTGAAATACCAATTGAATTTGCAACCTGTTTTTTTTCATATGTTTGAGTGAAACAGGATTTTCAACAAAGAATAAAAATTAAAAACCAAAATAGACCTGAATACAATTTGTTTTTGGACTGCTCTCCTTCTTAAACACAGGATTTTGATGGGATGCGGAGGCTCAAGTTCAAAGCTCACCCTTGAGAACATCCTGATGTATCCCAATGCTGACTTTTTTTAATTTGATCATTATTGGCATTTTTACTGCATCACCAGGCATTAAATTACTGCTACACAGATTATTCTAAGAGTATGTTCCATCCAATAAAACACTGAGCAGATTCCATTCACTACCGCCCTCTATGACTTTGATTTACAGGAAATTCCAGATTTTCTATGACCATGGGAACCCTGCTGATTATAAGAATAGGCATGTTTATTACAAAAACATGTTGACTTAAAAACTGTTTGATCTAATGTTGCGATCACAAAATGTGCACATACTAGTACAAACCAATGATGTTTATTTTGCAGTCACAATGCTTACACTATATGTAGCAGACATCCAAACAAACAATCAAACAATTCAACCAGCTAACCTTATCACTCAATGGACCCAACACACAGTCGCCAAGAAAAACACATTCACATCAGGGAACCAAGAAAAGAAAGTGAACATCCATGAGTGTTGGACATGGTTAAGAGATGAGCTAGTTCTTCACAAACAGTTAGCAGCAACATCTGTTGAGTAGCACAAGTTGCTAATATACTCCATTCGGCCTCGGTGTTTAAATCCGCCATATTCTGACGCGTTTTCTGTTATTAAAAATAAAACTGGAATCCAGAGGTACAATGGGGGGGGAAAAAAAAAAAACAGGGTTAAAGCTAGAGACAACTGTCGAAAGTGATCCTGTCACGATGACTTGAGTACCAGGGTCTTTTTTTTTTTTTAAGGACACGGCTACATTCTATAGGCTCCACTACCGAAGAACGCCAGATCAACAATAAAGCCACGAGAGACTGGAAGCCTGTGAGATTAAAAAGCAGGGAAAACAGTTTGACGAAAGCTCAGAGAGCAACTTCACCACAACCAAGTCACTTTAATCAAATCCACAGAAGATATGATCGAACCCTTCAGAGACAAAAGGGGAAAGGTTACGCGTGCGTTCTCCAATGAATTTCACACGAGGACGGGGTCGTTTTAGGACCATTCCCAGGCCAGCAGTAAGCAGATCTAAACATCCTCTGTGACGGAGGTGGTGGGGATGTTGACGCAAGACGGACTTCATCATGCCCAAGATTTGAGGGAAACGGTATTCCTTCTGAAAACGTTAACGCAAGATGTTTTGTGTATTTACAGAGCTCCCGTTTGCGTTCCATAGAGTCAATTCGAAGGGGGAAAAATAATAAATGTACAACTTGTGATCCTATTCAACGTTTCATCCCTCCCCTTCTGCGGACAGCTGTCAATCCCAGCACTCACGCCTCAATCCCACATCGTCACCCAGATATAAACGACTCTCCATACAGACAAACCCACACTTCAGCACAGTTGCGCTAACTTACTAGACTGTAAAAAGTTTTCAATCGCACTCAATATTTGTCTTAAATCGTAATCATTATAAACATTGTTGAAAATGTTATGAAAAAAATGTACACTTTTTTTTCGCCCACTTCCCATCGTCCCTAAGAGTGGTTCGGGTGTGCCGCCCACTCTAGAGTCCACACTGGTGCCGTCCCACACCCCAAACCCATTCCCAACCATTCCCCAGCCGTACCTTCTTCTCTCTCTTTGGACTTTGAGCCCCAAATGACAAGAGAATGGTCAAGGAGAATGACCTCTAGAAACTGGCTTTAAAATATTTATATATTTATATGTATATATATATTAGTATTATTTTAAAAATAATTTTAACCATTATACAGCAAGATGAAAATATGAAGTCAGTTTCCACTGACTAAAACTAGACTAAAACTTGCCAAAAACTAAAACAGGACAAGTTGACTAAATATGATAAAAAACTAAAAGTTACATTTGACACAGGACTAAGACTAAATTAAAAATAGCTGACAAAATTAACACCATATTACACACAGAAATGCCATTAAATGTGCTATATCAATCTTTTCTACAGAAATGAATACATTTAACAGAACACCTACTTCTAAAAGGCTTAAATGCAAAGCAAGCTGAAATTCTGAGGAAATCAAATTACCAATTACCTGTCTCTGTTTTTGGTCAGCAAGTTTCGCTCTATGCCCTCCATGAGATTTTCAAAGCATAAGTGCATGGCTTGCTGCTTTTCTGGTGGTTGGCTGTTCACAATGCTGTTCCTCAAATCTGCAAAATACTACAACCCCAATGCAAATCAGCATGTTAGAATGATTTCTGAAGGATCACGCGACACTCGAGTAATGATGCTGAAAATTCAGAAATTGTAAGAGCAATATTACTATTTTACAGCATTTTTGATTCAAATAAATGCAGCCTTTGTGAGCATAAGGCATAAGAAAAAACCTGCAACCCCAAATTTTTCAATGGTAGTGTGTTTTGTGTGTATTTAATAGAAGTGGTAACAGTACTAAAATATTGAGTGAAAAAACAATTAAATAGACCTGAACAGTTAATGATATATCGGACATAAAAGGATACGAGAGACACAGTGTCGCGTCATTGGCAAACACGGATTTGAACAGCGAGTCCCTTCCACAAAGGAAATACATCTCTGGCCCAAACGCATTGCCTGCGCATAAATAA